ATTTTTTTTAACTGTCCATTTAGTTAACTGCATTCATCCAGTACAATAAACAGGGAACAACTTTCGGCAAAAGCAGATAAACGATTTGGAAAAGCAATTATTGACCCATAGAAAGCAGAAAATGCCAGCATGTCACCGCGTTGTGGAGAGATCAGTTCCATCAGAGATAAAAAAAGAAAATTTTTTTTCTTATGTAATAATCAGAGATAAAATGTTTGGGCGGACGAAAATGTGCGAGGGTTTTTTTAATTTGTATTTTTAAGGTTTGGATTAAGAATATTTTTTTAATATTAATTATTATTAAAAAATAATATTTAATACCTAGTTAATTATTTAATTAAAATAATATATATAATATAATTAATATAAAAAATATATAAAATATATATTAATTATATTTTTAATTTGTATCTAAATATTAAATTCAATGTACAATTATTACCACCATCAAACACTGTAGGCGGATGGGAGTGAGGGTCTGGCTCCATGAGAAATGCGTCCTCGTGAAATCGAAAAGAAATGCCACTCTCAATTATGAAGGCGAAAATCCATGGCCAACCTTTTATCTTCTTAATTATGAAACTGTCAGTTCCTCAACTTTAATATAAAAGTTTTAATTTTTTTTAATTTAAATAAAAATACCCAAAATGAATTAAAAAAATTCATGTTTCCATTAATATATCATTATCTATTGCCATATTAGCGTCAATGTGGTAATTTATTACCATTGGAGACTATCACCGTAAACATTGACAGTAAAAGCAAAAAACTCTTATTTGTTAGGGTCTATATCTATTTATTTAAAAAATAAAAATTAAAAAATAATTTAAAGATAATTTTTTATGTTATTTTTTTATATAATTTTACGTGTCATTTAAATAATTAATTTTTTTATTTAAAATTTATAATATTAAATATATTTATTTATTTAATAATATATAAAATTTATAAAAATATATTGTACAATAAAATTATTCCTATCTCACCTCTCAAAAATTGAAATATATAAATATATAGAAATATCAAAGCTTTCACTTTAATATAAAAGTAAAATAATAAATTATGAATATGCAACTCTATTTGATTATATTGTTTGTTAGTGTGAATATAACTTCACACTAAATATAAATATATACTATCATTAAATAAATGATATAATAATAAATTAAATATCAAACTCACAAAGATTAAAAATTAAAAAAGCTCATGTTAAATATCAATATTATGTTAATTCTAATTTTATTTAATAATTTTAAAATTAAATAAAATACGATTTAATCAATTCTAAACTAATTTCATTTACAAAATTAATCCCAATTAATTGAAATTTAACTAATTGTCATTGAACATAATAAATGACAATTAATTGAGATTAATTTTGTATTGGAATTGATTAAATCATATTTTATTTAATTTTAAAATTTTAGATAAAAAAAATTAACAATTAAAAACAAAAATTATAAATTAAAATTATAAATTTATTGAGTATAAAATTTTAAAA